GACTATAATAGGGTTCAAATAAGAACTAGATAAATTCATGGAGGATAGGTCGATCAATGGCTATGAGCCAGGATGGGCAGGGATGGTGTCCCTAGCCTCTGTTTGCCAGAAGGTGGGAATGGGTGACAGGGGATGGGTCACTTGATGATTACCTGTTCTGTTCATTTCCTCTGGGGCACCTGACTTTGGCCACTGTCAGAAGATAGAATACTGGGCTAAATGGACCTTTGATCTGACCCAGTATGGCCATTCTTATGTTCTCATGCAGCTTGTTACAATATAATTTTAGTGCTTGTTGAAGAGAATTTACTCCATATTTGCTTTGGTTTTACTGATCATTGATAATCATCTTTAGCATTTTTTTGATTAGCAAGTCCTCAGCCTGAGTTCTTAGCTGCTGTTGCAAGCTCGACCGTCAGCTCAATATAATGCATATGTTCTTTTCACAACCCCCCAAAAGACAACAACACAAGACAGTCATAGAATCATAGAATATCAGGGTTGGAAGGGACCCCTGAAGGTCATCTAGTCCAACCCCCTGCTCGAAGCAGGACCAATTCCCAGTTAAATCATCCCAGCCAGGGCTTTGTCAAGCCTGACCTTAAAAACCTCTAAGGAAGGAGATTCTACCACCTCCCTAGGTAACGCATTCCAGTGTTTCACCACCCTCTTAGTGAAAAAGTCAAAAGGCTCTTGAGCTCTTGAGGCTAAGGAAATTTGACTTGGACCACAGGATTCTAAATAAATTGCAGAGTGGGGGTTGTAAAACTTTGTTGTGCTCAGAAATGAGCATACATCCTGTGGCCTTAAGACTATGAGAGAAGGGAAATAGCTGAGTGAGCTCTCTGTTGGCATCCGATGGGCAATACTGAACACTAAGTATTATACTTCTGTTTTCAGGAGGGATTATGGGGATTATAAAGATCAGACATGGAGTCAGTCTTTGCCTTTATGGGACCCCAGCCAACAACTAAGGAGTGGGTAAGGGTGTGTGTATCTATATATATGAACTGGGCTTTGAGTTCTCCAATCCAACTACTGGTGGTGAGCATCTGGATATAAATTACTCTTCCCTCTACTCACACTGATGGAAGCGTGGCATGAGAGATTGAGTTATCTCCTCCCTCTGCTCATGCTGCTGAAAAAGGCTAATGTGCAGTGATATTTAAGGCCCAAAGGGATCATCTAGTCTGACCTTCTGCATAACACAGGCCATATATCTTCCCTGTATTAATTCCTGCTTCATGTCCAACAACTGTGCTTGAACTTCAGCAGATCTTTTAGAAAAACAGCTCGTTTTGTTTTAAAAATTGCCAGTGATGGAGAATCCACCACAACCCTTGGTAATTTAATTACCCTCACTATTCAAAATTTGCCCTTTATTTCTAGTCTACATTTGTCTAGCTTCAGCATCCAGCCATTGGATCTGCTTATACCTTTGTCTGCTACACTGAAGAGCTATTACCAGATTTCTGTTCCCCATGTAGGTAATTATAAACTGTGATCAAATCACCCCTTACCCTTCTCTGAGTTAAGCTAAATCGATTAAGCTCCTTGAGTCCATTACTATAAGGTAGGTTTTCTAATCCTTCAATCATTCTCGCGGCTCTTCTCTGAACCCTCTCCAATTTTTCAGTATCCGTCGTGAGGTGTGTACACCAGTGCTGGACACAATATTCCAGTACTGATGGCACCAATGCCAAATACAGAGGTAATATAACCTCTTTCTTCTCTTTCCCTTATTTATACATCCAAGAATTACATTAGTCCTTTTGGCCACAGTGTCACATGGGAGCTCATGTTCTGCTGATTATCTGCCATGACTTTGAAATCTTTTTCCGAGCTGCTGCTTCCCATGATAGAGTCCCCCATCCTGTAAGGATGGAATTTATATATTTCTCTTTTGTACAGTATTGACTTTAATCAAAAAAATTCAGTGGCTCACAAATGAACTAAGTCACACAAAAACCCTCTGAGGTAGGCGAATGTGTTATGTTAAATTTTACAGAGGGGTAAGCAGAGCCTCAGAAATGATAAACAAGTCAGTGACAGAGTTAGGACTAGAATGTAGGAATCCTGATGCCCAGTCCTCTGTTCTAACCATTATACCATACACTAATTCCTCCATACTGTGTTTTATCTTACATATTCCTGTTATGCCTTTATTGTTTCGCTATTGTCACGGGGTTTGGATTGCAACTACATATATTGATGGTGTAAGTTACATATAGTCAAACTGGTGTTAGCTGGCATATATGAAGATGCAACTTACACATTTGTAAAAACTGGAGGTGTGTAATAAGGATCAATATTTGGGTCTTTACAGGGAGACAAACTATGAATATCGGCTGCCTACTTCTATGCCTGCATGGCTTGTCCGTCTGTACTGCAGGCTTTCAGCACAGATGGTGAGTTCTCCCTAACAACTCTAAAGTATTCAATAACTATTTGTGTGTGTATTTGTGAATATTATTATTGTCCTTGTTACATTTCTTTCCTGCTTCTTTTGGAGAGTCATGAACTATTAACAAGGCTAAGGAAACTTCAGCATTCAGACTCTGACTTGGCACTAGTATAAGTGCTGTGTAAGTAAGTTCCGCACCATCCTCCCATCCCCACTGGGATGCATTTTTGGATGAGTCCTTTGGAAGCTATTTTGTATTGCAAACAATGTAATCCCAAATGCTGCTGCAGTTGATCTGCCCTTGAAATTCCCAGAGTACAATGTGTGGTGTATATATGGAATGGATGCAGGTAGAATTTACACAGCCTGTGACAAGATGAAGCAACAAGCCTCTGATAGGTCCAAAGGGCAGCAGTGTTAGTGATATTTGCAAGCTGGTAGTCAAAAATGCCATGTAATTGTATTCTGAAAGATTTCTAGTATCTGGTAGAGATTGTATTAATCTCACACCCAGAGCCTAACAGCAACTAGTGAAGATCATGGGTGAAATCCTGGCCCTATTGAAATCAATAGCAAAACTCCCCTTGACTTCAATGGGCTAGTATTTCACCCATCCCAGTTTATAACTGAGAACTGACTCCAAAATAATAAGAGTTAATCAGATCACACAGTTGGTGCAGCTCATTGTTTTTGATAATACCAGTGAGAAATCTCTGCAATAGAGCCAGTAGGAAATCTTTTGACAAAATGTTTTTTCATCTGAAAATACCAGTTCACTGAAACTGAAACTTAATGGGAAAGGCTTGATTTCAATGAATTTCCTGTTGTGAGCAATTTTTGAAAAAAAAAACTTGTAACATTGTCAAAACATCCCATTTTTACCTTTTCAAACTGAAATGTTTTGTTTAAAAAATTAGGTTAATTTATAGTATTAAAAAATCAAAATAAATGATTTTTGATTAACCTGAACCAATTTTTTTTTTCATTTTCAGTTAGTGAAAATGTCTAAGATTTCAACTTTTTGACCCAATTCAGGATGTGAAAATTTTTGAAAATCTCGAAAATGTTTGCAGGATGGGAAAACTGTTTCCCACCTCACTTTAATTTGTGATCTTGAATGTGATTGGGTAACAGTTTATTACTCTGTGATGTTCAACTCTATTAGTAGCAGTATGTGAATTTAATTTCGTAAAAGTAACTATAGTTTAACATAAATGCTTGCTAATAATCTAAAGATTGTGAATTCTGCACTGTCACTGGTGAGCTGTTATTTAACGGAGTCGTCTGACTGGGTAGTAGAACTAGTTAGATGAGTAACTGCACATCACTGGGAGTAAGGGATTCACAATCTGGCTTAATTAACGAAATAAATAGAAAACATTCTGCTCACGTTAAAAGGGGGAAGATTTGTATTTTCCCCTTTCCATTAGATTTAAAACCTAAAAAGATATCACCACTGTGCTATTTCCTGCTACACATAACATAATAAATAAATAAAATATAATCACAATGCATTGGGATTCGGTGCATATATTATCTATGTGCTTGTGTGCACGGTATGTATTGATGTGTTCAGGAGGGAACGAAATAACACATGCAGCTATCTAGTGGATGGCCCAATCCATTGTATGAACACTTTTAGGAACAGATTTTTGAAAGCTCTCAGCACCCAGCTGCTCCCATTGAGAACACTTCTCATTCTCAACGAGAAATGCTGTCTTCTGCTGAACTCTTTTGAAAAACTGGTTCCAGCTGTGGATGTTGAGCACTTTTGAAAATCTGGCCCGTGAGGCCTGAGCCAAAACCCAAGAACAGCTCCAAACCTTGGCAAGGTTCACATCCCGATCTCAAGTTTGCAGGTGGAGCCCGTTTTCTTGACGGTCCCACCAGTGCTGCCTTACTCCTGGGGCCACGTGTATTGTACTGCACTCGCAATACCTCTTGGTTTCTCTCAGGCAAACTATAACAGCGTGTTCCCTTGGCATCAGACAGGTCATCCACGCAACTCACTTTAATAATTCATACAAATGTGAGTGTGATCTATGTGCCTAAGGAGGGAGATAGACATATAAAACCAAGGAATTATAATACTGTACTTTCTATTTGTTTGCCCTCTGGAACTCCTTTGTCTTGTTATGGTGATATGTTAATAAAAGACTAACCAGTGCCAGTGACAATGGTGAGGCAGGTAGTGAGCTGCATTGTGAGCACAGCTAGTCCTCATGAAAATGTGCGTGTATCATTATCACATTATGCACCTTCTGCCACCTCCTTACATTAGTATCACCGAGGTTTTTGCATTTTGTAAGCAATTTAAATGGCAAGATCTGTACAGCTCGGCTTCAGTGATGTCCTTAACAATGTGCATAGTCAACTGGACTTCTCACATGCTCAGTGTTATGCCTGTATGTAAGTATCTTATTGCAGCAGGGACTAATGTAAAGAGTGTTTCTTTACTCTCGCACCTACCACAAAGGGGCCCTGATCCCTATCATATAAGTGATAAATAATATAAGAATAATAAAGGTATTTAACTTTTCCAATCTCATTAGCAAACATCACACACTGCATGCCACAAAGAAAAGCTCTCTTTTACCTGTGAAGTTAACTTTCAGTAGGTAATCTTTATACAGCTTCTTGCCATCCAGAAGTTTCATGGCATCACACAGTTTGGTAGTGTTGGGGCACAGTGTCCGTTGCATTTTGTGCAAGGCGTGGGCCATTGCATACACAGCATTCACCACAAACATGATCTTGGATTCCTGCTCGTAATTGGAACTGTTGATATTTAAGTGTTTGTCACAAGCTTTTCTGTGTGGTTTTCTGTTCTGGAGACTGCACTGGAATTTTTGCTCCCAAAAGTCCCTGAACCAGGGATTGCGATGATTATTATAAGGATTGAGGCTTTGGAAGTACCGGTCAAACTCTTTAACTGGGTGGGAAGCAAGTTCCAGGGTTATTGCTCCATAAGCTACATGCTCGTTGCCCTTGACAACGCTCTCCTGGGCCCCCCACCCGTCACTGGCGACCCACGTAAAGGAAACGTTGAATCGGTTAGCGGCAGCAATGAGCTCCCGAGAGTCATCGCTTCTCATGAAGAGCACGACCACTCTTGCGTTGGGTTTCTGGAGCAGCTCTCTGATTACGCTGTCATAGGACTTCCTGATGTTGGACCTGCCAACCTTCTCTGAGGTGGCAATGCAGATGTTCCGGAGGCGAGCCTCCTGTTCAAAGGCTTCGATCCCTGTCTCTCCGTAGTCTCCTTCTGAGGCCACCGTTGACACGTAGGTCCAGTTGAAGAACCGTAAGATCTCGGCCATTGCTTTTGCTTGATAGAAGTCAGGGGGGACTGTCCTTGCGAAATAATCGTAGCGGGACTTGTCACTCAGCTTGGCGCTGGTGGAGGCATAGCTGATCTGGGGGATCTGGAATAGCCTCAGCAAATTTGCAACCTGGAGGGAAGAGGGAAAAGACACATTTTACTGGGTGGTAATTATGAATTTGAACCAAACATACCTATGAAGCGCCAAACAATGGCTGTTCCAGTGTGCAGTGCCCTGGAGGAGACGGGGTGTCTAGCAGAGGCTACAGGTCCACTCCTGTCCCTATCTCTAGTGGTAGCAATGCACTGGGGGGAGCCTGATGTAGCAAAAGTCCTGCTGCCCCATTCACTTGCCCCAAGTCCTTCTGGGGGCATAATGGGCTGTAGTCACTGCTGCTGCATATGGGCTGGCTCCATTGGCTTCAGTAGAGTGGTGCCCATCTACACCAGAAGAGAATTCAACCCAGTGCCACCAGGACCATTGTTTGGTTGGAGCATATCCAATCTTGGCATTTATACTGGTGGGACTGGAGTGTCCTGCCCCTGCACAGTATGATTCAGTTTTTCAAGGGCCTAATTAGGCACGTGACTTAATATCCCAGTATGCTTGGAGCAGCCTCCAAATTAATGTATACAAAGCCTCCTCCAAAGAAACTCCTGAAGCCCCATCTGTTCGCTGACACGCTCCAGCTGCAGTGACGCCCTCCCACCCTTTCCCTTTCTTTACTATATTGTGCTGTTTGTTCTGTATTGTTCTAGCCAGTGCTCCCCCCCCAGGGCGGTGACCTTTTATTTGTTTGGCATGGCTCTCCTACTATACAGTGCCATGTTCTCCAACAGTGCTATATAAATAATAAATAATATTAATAATCCCTAATTGCACTTGCTGGGAGATTTATGCTGTGCAATGTACTGCTTTTTTACACACTGCTATTTCCCTTGCTAGTGGGCAGTTATTACACGTAAATGTGTTTCGAACAATCTATCCAGATTGCACGGGTAGCTATGAGACAGTGTTGCTCTTGGGCTGGATCTGGAAGGAGAAGAGGAAAGATATGTTCTTCCTTGCTGCCATGTCTTGCTGGTCAGTTGCAGTGGGTCTCATGTGACTGAAAGGGGGTAGATCTATTTCCACCGTGTGCTAGTAATATTGAATAAACCAAATTTAAAGTTTCTAGTATAGCCAATCTTGGAATATGGCTCAATAAAAATGTTAGAAGCATTTTCCTAAAACAAACCATACCTATTAAATATAAATCAATAAATGGCATAATCAAGTCACTTCAGATTTTGACCCCAAGTTGTCGTCTGACCACAGTCCACCGTCAAGAGATTTCAAGTGCAGTGGACTTTTGAGAAATTTAGAGGAAGGATATTTGTAACAAGAAGGATGGCTAGTGTTGCGATTAAGGTTGTCCTCTAGGACTTTGTAGACTGAGGTTTAATTCATGTGCTACCACAGAGACAGCCTGCATTTACTGTCTGGACTAGATGCAGAGTGGCAATTCACAAAGACAAAGGAACCCCAAGAGAGTTTTCAAAGCGGGGGGTGGGGGGGCTAAGAGACAATAGCCTAGGATTGCGTAAGAGCAGAAGATTGGTCCAAATGGTTATCCATTACAAAAGGAGGCTCTGTGTCAGGGTGTGTGTGCGTGCATGCGCTTGGCTCATGAACAGTGGATCCCAACTTTGTGGGCTGGACAAGCACTGGAAGAACTAATAGTTGAGTGAGAAATACCTTATTAGACAGGAAAGTACTGTGACAGGGTCAGGCCAGATGGCTATAGGAGTGTGACAGAAGGCAGATATATTAGCCCCAGGTTAAGTAGGTCCCCTTTCCCTGGGTAGGGTAACAGGGAAGGTTCCAGAACAATTAGGAACTTTCTGGAAACAATTAAGGCAAACCCGCTGATCAGAACACCTGCAGCCATCAAGAAGCTGCTAGAATCAATTAAGACAGGCAGGCTAATCAGGGCACCTCGGTTTTAAAAAGAGCTCACTTCAGTTTGTAGTGTGTGAGTGTGAGGAGCTGGGAGCAAGAGGTGCAAGAAGCTGAGAGTGAGAAGGTGTACTACTGGAAGACTGAGAAGTACAAGCATTATCAGACATCAGGAGGAAGGTCCTGTGGTGAGAATAAAGAAGGTGCTGGGAGGAGGCCATGGGGAAGTAGCCCAGGGAGTTGTAGCTGTCACGTAGCTGTTACAGGAGCCACTGTAGACAGCTGCAATCCACAGGGCTCTGGGCTGGAACCCGGAGTAGAGGGCGGGCCCGGGTTCCCTCCATTCCTCCATCCCCCCAACTCCCTATTTGATACTGGAGGAGTTGACCTGGACTGTGGGTTCCACCAGAGGGGAAGGTCTCTGGACTGTTCCCCGATCCATTAGGTGGATCAGCAGAGACTGCGGGGATTGTTCTTCTTCCTTTTCCCCATGCTTGCCAGTGATGAGGCTAACTGAGTGAATGGCAGATCTGAGCCATGAAAGTGGCCAAACTGAGGGCTGCCATGAACCTCTGAAGAGAGCAAATATGCCCATAAGCGCAGGACCCACCAAGGCAGAGGAGGAACTTTGTCACAGTACTTTGTTAATAAGTACAGGCTATAGATTGTGTTTTATGTTTTTCATTTACTTGTAATCTTATGTTTCCAAAACCTTTTATTTGAATCTTTATCTCAAGCTCTGTTAAATAAACCAGCAGGTGGGTTGCACTGGTTCCTCAGAGGCAGAGGATCAGCGTACTTTGTGGGCGCCCAGAAGACAGGGGATTGGACACTTGAGTGTAACAAAGTGGGTTGTTTCAATTGCTATCTTACATTGGAAAAGAGTGGGGCTCGTGGAGCTGGGAGCCTGTGTTGCCAGTAGCCAGCGGCTGGGACACAGTGGGACACAGACAGGGCAGCCTCCCGCTGTATGCAGGGGGTAGTAATTCATCCCAGACTCCTCAGGTAACCCCAACAGAATGTCACAATATGGATTTAGGAATCTAACTTTAGGTTTGAAAAAGCTGGCCTAGCTGTATGCCCTTTCTCTATCTATCTATCTATCTATCTATCTATCTATCTATCTATCTATCTATCTATCCTGCTTGTTATATGTAAATGGAAGTCTGTCATTCGTCAGTCTAATGACAACCAAGACCCCAATTCCTTTCAGAGTCTTTGAGCCATTTCCATAACTGCCTTGCATTGAAATGCATATGCTTGGCAAAAATTGCCTGTTTTAAAGTAATCAGTCCCACTCTTTCACTCTGAAACAGTGTCCGTTACACACCACAGTGCAGTGAAGGTGCCGGGAGGGGCTCCTTGTCTGTAATTCTCAAGCAAGTGGAAAAAAAAGAAAAATAATCATTTAACAAATGGTACCGCCAGGAGCAGTGACTTAGGCACCACTATTGAACATATGATTTTGTTTTCCCACCCAATTTCCTTGTCATTCATTAGTCGAAATGGTGGAAGGTCTAGGTTTCCCACACCTGAGCTTTTTCAGAAACCACAGGTTCAAGTATTCCTTTTACACTTTGAGCTAGATTTCCTGAGGATCAGTGAAATCTGAACATATAATATTTTGTCTGCTCTCTACGGGCAGAAAATATGCCATGGCACTTTTGGCTAGAGATGGAGTTTGCTCTAATGTCTTTGGTCAAAAATGCCCCTTTTCCTTATCACCAACATACTGTGCACTGCTAGGTTATATATAAATACGTGTATATAATTGGAAAGCATTGTGGGATACTTTGGTACGAAAGATGCTACCGTAGTGTTATTACATATAACTGCTTTACCATATGTAAGGTCACATTCAATTAACATATGAGACATCTTGTTGGATAACAACACTTTGTTCTCCTTCGACTGAGAATCTCACAGAGCTTTACAAACCTTAATGAATTTAGCCTCACAGCACTCCTGGAATGAAAGGTAGGTACTAAAAATGACATTTTACACCGGCAGGGTAAGTAACTCATCCATGACCTCACAGTGAGCCAGTGGCAGAGCCAAGGACCCAGGTGTTCTGAGAAACATGCACAGCTGCCAATATACCTTCCAAGTAGCTTGTAAACTATTTTGTTTGCAGTGTTTTCAGGGTCAAATGTAGGTCAGACTGGCCAGCAAACACATTTATCCCTGTATGCAATGATAATGCCTTAATTATTTTTCATGTTTGGCCTTTTCATGCTAATTTTCTTAATCCAGTTTTTTTTTTAAAGTGCAGAGAGGGTCATTTTAGGTAGCTAGATAATAGGGAAAATTGATTTGCAAAGGACCGATATGCATGAGAGAGTTGAAGCAGATGTTCCCTACAAAAAGGTTGCTTTTCCTTCAAAACACTTGTGAATAAATGTTGTGCTCGTGAGAGTGAGGGACTCAGTGACCCGGGTTTGTGTCAAGTCTCATAATGAGTGCAAAACTAGTGTAGGCTCTGTTCATATATCGTAGTTCTGAACTACTCTTTCTTATGCACTATTTGTGATCTGGACTGAGAACACCAACTCCTTTCACACAGGCCATCAAACAACCTTCAGCTGATAAACTTCAAGCTGTTCTAAGGTCACCAAGGGCCAAGCCAGCTCTACAAACGGGGGAGTAGTAAAGGGAAAAAAGGAAGGATGGTTCAGAAGTTAGGGCGCTGACTTAGGACACTTGGGTTCACTTCCCTACACACACACACACACACACCCTCCACGTTCCATGTGATCTTGTTCAAAGTTACTTCGGCTATGGCTAGGTGTGACACTGTAAAAGAAAAAAGAAAAGGAGTACTTGTGGCACCTTAGAGACTAACCAATTTATTTGAGCATAAGCTTTCGTGAGCTACAGCTCACTTCATGATGCATCCAATGAAGTGAGCTGTAGCTCACGAAAGCTTATGCTCAAATAAATTGGTTAGTCTCTAAGGTGCCACAAGTCCTCCTTTTCTTTTTGCGAATACAGACTAACACGGCTGCTACTCTGAAACCTGTGTAAAAGAAAGGTGACCATGGTTACACTAATGGAACACCACTGTTGCACAATTGTGATAAATCTTGTACAGAATATGTCTTGTACGTATCAATAGAAAAGTTATAGTCTGCTAAATATTATCTGTTTAAATCCATGTATCAGCACTGTTGTGGAAGTTATAAATATTTGCT